AAACTACAGGCAGTGCATCAGGGAGGACCAGTTATCATTTAGTTCTAATGTTACTGCTGAATCATCACAGGGAAAACACATCACAATCATTAATAACAGATAAATGTCATAGATGGTGGAGAAAATATTTAAAAATTCAATGGTTTCAACTTAAGTGGCTCATGAATTATACATTTAATTAAGAAAAGCCAAATGGGAAGAATTTTAAACTTCTAATTTGTAAGGTTTTTTTTTCTTTCCCTATTAAAAATATACAAATTAAGCATGATAGTGGCTGGTGACGGAACAAAATAGATAAAAGCCCCCACGATAGCTTGGCTGTTTGGGGGAATGAGAATAGGTAGCCCATAGTGAGAAGGGAGAAAGACGGGATGGAAAATATAGTGAGAGGAAGGGCTTGCAGCTTAACATCTTTACCAGTTCACAGAGGAGCTGAAAGGGATACCTGGATTCTAGTCGCAGAGCTACTGCCATCTTCCCCTCTGCTCATTCACCTGTAAAAAGAGAGGGTTAGGCGAGAAGAGCTTTAAGTCTCTTCCATCCCAGACATGCCACAAATCTATGAACTCTGGAACATCCTCTTTTCCAGGCTTCCACATACCACCCAAAGAGAAATATATAAGATGGCCACCATTTTATCAAACTCGGAGCCATTTCCCTTCCTAGTATAATTATGCAGAGGAGATTGAGAATTACCACTGTATTAATGGTTTTCAAAGTAGTGTTGTGAGCCGCCCCCACCCCCCCAACCCCCCTAGTCACAGCGTTTCCAGGGAATTTGTTAGCAGTGCAAATTTTCTGGTTCCTTTCCTGACCTACTGAAAGTGAAGCTGGGAGGGTAGAACCCAGCAATTTGTGTTTTACCAAGTCCTCTAAGTGGTTGTGATGCACATTGAAGTTTCAAAATCTGCTCTAGTGAGGCCATTTTGGAGAAAACAGTTACTTCTTAGTGGTTTAAAAAATGCATACTCTTCCCTATTAATAGTAGCTATCAACATGTTAAAGTGATTGAGAGTAACAGATTAACCTTTTATTCTGTATAATGCTGAGGAAATTGAACACAGGACAGACAGTGTTATGGGGGGAGAGGATGGGTGGAGAGGAACAGATATCCTAGTTATGAGTAGGGTTAGATAGGCAGAGAGCTTGGGTGTTTGGAAGGAAGTCTGAGGGTAAGGAAGAGTAGCCAAGGGGATTTGGCATCTGAAACAGCTAGGTTCAAGTCCTACCCCTTCTACCTGTAAGCAATGTGATTTTGGGAAATTACTTTTATACTTTTAGCTGCAATACCCTCTCCTATTTAATGGGCTGATTATTAATAGCCAATTAGCCTCACAAAACAAATTTCTGGGATGACAAAACAGGTATGAAATAAAAGCACTCATTATTTTTAATTGTTTCTTATTCTAATTTTGTTTATTTCTGGACCACATTCTTCTGTCAACTTCTAAATGTTCCACTATTGAAGAAGAATACACCACATGCAGGAATAGATCAGAAAGCTTTAACGGCTAAGGTAAAAATGAATTCACCAAGGGAGAAATGGAAATTACAGTCTCAGGTCTCAAGATTATAGGGTAAAGAATACAAAGATTTCTTGGGCATTAATAGCAACCTGTAATTTCTGTTAAGTGAGAAGAGTTACCCTGGATTTCAGAGAACCAGAGGTTATCCTTCTCCCCAAATCAGCATAGACTAAAGATCCCTAAGCTGGGACATAGCCCTGGGAATTTGCTCAAGATTGTCTTTATTTCACAAAAGGTTCAAAAGATGAGGAGTCACTGACAACAAGGGAATCTGAACTACATTTTTTCATTCTCTCTTTATTGAAGAAAAATTTACTATCTAGATAGCTCTCAGTTTCAAACAAAAATCCTTTGAGTATCTCTTTGGTGGAGACAGAGTAACAGGCTTAGAAGTGAAGCAGCAAAGGACATCAGTAAAGAAACTTAGAAGCAAGAGACCACATGAAATGATAAAAGACTCCAGTAGAGATTTGCAAAAGCAATGAAGATTCAATACCCAGGAACAGGACAAGAATGTCAAGGCCTATTTTCAAAAATAAAAAGTGAATTGCATTTATGCATACTTGATCTAAAAGCATTAGACTCTTAGGAAGATCAAAGGAACGTTGAGAGTGGAGTAGACAGTTCATACAAGCATAGCTTTAACTTCCCATTCATTGCAAAAATAAATATTTTTTGTAACATCTCAAGCTGTGTTCATTCTTCCTCTGCTTTGTGCATCTTTAATGATAGAGAGCTATTACCTCATAAATCCTGAAGTTTAGGAGGGTCTTCATTTTATTAAGGACCATACAGCCTTCTGTAACCGCCAACAGCCAAAGTCCTAATGGACATCAATAGAAAGGGCTTTATTTAACCCTTTATACACCTGACAACAATTCAATCTATGGAGACAGCTCAATTATCCTTCCCTGCCCTGCTCCCAGGGTAAAAATCTAAGTTCTTATCATTTTCTTTTGTGACTTTATTTCTGGTCTTTGCTATGTTGGTTATCTGTCTCTTGATATACTTGAGAATTTTAATTCCCCTTTCAATAAGGAGTGCTTTGAACATTATATTCCAGTTCAACAACATGAGCCATTTGTAGGGAGTTGAAAATACAGATTCCATGATACTTCACTCAGATATAATGAAACCAAATTGCTAGGAGTGGGGTTAGCTCTCTGTATTTTAACAAGCTTCCTTCGTGATTCTAGTGTGCTCTGAATAAAACATAATACTCCAGTCTGAACAGTTCAGAGTAAGGATGAAAAATATTATTCATTGTATTGTTTTACAAGTTGTCATTCATTCAGGTGTTTAGCTCTCATCCTGTTTTTCCCATTTATACAAATATTACGTAGTAATTAAAAATTATAATATGACAGAAACACATTATGTAGAGAGTAAAAGTCTTTTGTATTTCTTTCTCTTACCCTAAGAAAACCACTGTATACATTTCTAGGTCTCTAAACTTAATAATTTGTATAGACACACATATACACATGCACATACATGCATACATACACACAATACTAAACATCTTGATTTACAATATGCTTTGCACATAACCATGCATCTTGGATTTGTTTCTATCTGAACAGTACTTTTATAGGCTTAATACCTTTCTGCATTTTCACATTCTAACATAAGTGGCATTTTTTGTTGTTCTCTGACATATCATTCTCTCATATATTCTTCTTTCCTAAGAGTTATCAGAGTTCTGTCAGTATAGATGAATTCATTTTTACTAAAATAACTTATGAATTATTGTTAGAATTTAATGCTTTAGCTCTTCCCCACTATTAATGGTCTATTTGTAGACTCACTGTTATTTCTTCCTCCTGCTTTCCTTCCTTCGTTCTTTTTGTGCTTCCTAAAGTCTGGTTTCCTAAGTTTATTGTTAATGCTTTATAAATTTTCCTTGGTGAAAGAGATGATAAAGATGGCCAACATTCCCATCCTCCCACTTTCTCATGAGTTTTTCTACATAGATCAAATTTAAGGTCAGACTAGCTATCGATCTATATTGCCTCCTCATCCTTTAGAGAATTTTAATTCAGTAAGGTTAATGAAAAATGTTTCAGCTGGTCTGTTTCCACCTGGGGTAGACTTCTAGAACACATCAGAAATAATTAGTCTTTTTTGGCTCTACCATATCTTGCTTCTGTACCCGTTTTTTATATGAGTGCAGATGACAAATATGACCCTGAACCTCTGCCTGAACAAGAGGCCCCTAGTTGCTTCAACTGTTCTAGGAGCTAGGAGTTCCTAGTATGTAGTTTCCAAGTTCATCTGCAGGTGAAGATGTTTTCAACCATGTGTATTTCCCTTCTTCACCCCCTGCACATCCACATTTCACTTAGTTTAGGGTTCCTTTTAAACCAGTTATATTCCTTACTTCCCTAGACATAAGTTCAGTTCTGCCTAGTTTTCATGATACACACACTGTCTTAGGCTTCAGATAGTAGTACACTTAAAAACTGTAATCCATGAGAATATTTTTCTTTGTTCCAAGATCTCTGGCTAAAATTTAAGAAGATTGACTTGTGGTTTTTGCATAGATGTAAAACAAATGTAACTCTCATATAATTCTGGTTGAGAGGTCAACTGGTACAACAACTTTGGAAAATTTTTTTTGTAGTTTCTTATAAAGTTAAACATAAATCTATTTACCTTATGTCTCACTCCTAGGAGCTTGTCCAAGAGAAATGAAAATGTTGACAGACAGTCTTATAAAAGAATGCTGAACAAATTGTGGTATTTTTATAAAATGGAGTATTAGTCAGCAACAGAAAGAAAAGAAGTAGATAGTCACACAACATAGGTGAACATTAAAAAATATATGTTAAAAGAAATCAGACACAAAATAGTACATTCTATTTGATTTTATTCTTATGAAATCCAAACACAGACAGAAATAATCTATGATGATGGAAATTAGGTATTGGTTACAATGGTAGAAACTGACCAGAAGAAAACATTAGAAAATTTCTGAAGAGATAGAAATGTTCCATATTTCATTTTGGCAAGGTGGTTATATAGGGTTTATAATTGTTACAAATATGTGAACTGAATGTTTTAACATTTATCTTATGATATGTTAAACATAAGTCAATCTCTGGAGATCTCTGATATATATGATATATATATCATCCACTTACATATAAAAATCATATGTAATATATATATGGTATATGATTCTTATTTTTATTCTATGATTCTTTTTCTCTTAATATCCCATTATTGCAAAAGACTGCATACATCATTGCATTCCTAATTGAACAAAGCCAATGAAGAGCAGGGTGACTATATAATTTATGATGTAAATTTGTATATATTTGAATATAAGGGAATATTACAGTTATAACAGGAAGGTAGTCATAAACTAGACAAACAGGGGCACAATTTTATTCTGATTATGGAGAGGAGGACACAGAAGTTTCAGATAAGAATGAACACAGTAAAGATAATACTTTTTTTTCTGTCTTCCAGATTTATCTTATGCATGGACTTTCAATGATAACCCCTTATATGTCCAAGAGGACAACAGACGGTTTGTATCACAAGAGACAGGAAACTTGTACATTGCCAAAGTGGAACCATCAGATGTGGGCAACTATACCTGCTTCGTAACAAACAAGGAAGCCCAGAGAAGTGTTCAAGGACCGCCTACCCCATTAGTGCAGCGCACTGATGGTAAGATGATGAGCTCTCTTGGGAATATACTTTGTCCATTGCTGTTGAAGCCTGGGGAGTTCTGTAGAGCTTTCTGCTTCCCTCTGGTACAGAGGAGCCACATCATCCGTGAGTGGAGGTTTAATTTACAAATATATGAAAATCAGGCATTATAAAAATATAATAGAAAATTCTATAACTCACTCACACAGTGCAGTATACTGTGCCATCTCTTCCCTGGCATTGGATCAGATTCTTTCTTTCCTTAAGGAACATTGTATGTAAACAAAAGTTTGTTTGGAGGAGTAGGCGTGTGTGTGTGCATGTGTGAGTGCTGCCAAACTTATTAAGTGAATGATATATATTCAATGAACATATGATGCAGCTTCTCTTCAGTACCTCTTTCTTTTTCGTCTTTGTCTTTTTGTTCATCCTTTATTTACCTGGCTGGCAAAATGGGGAAAAAAGGTTCACATCCAAGGAAAGCAAAGCAGCAAACATTAATTACAAGCATTCCAAAGAGGAATGAAACACAAGATTCATACTAATTATAGTCCTCCAAGGAACAGAATTCAGATCGGTCTCTGATGAGTCTTCTAGCTTAGTCAAGTCCTATGTGGCACAAGATTTAGAAAGCTGGAAAACCTAGGGAAGTTATCAAAGTACAATAATCCTCTAGTTGATTCTTTAATTAAATATTCACAGTGGTAAATGTAAAGATAGAAAACCTGTTGATGCATTTAATGATCAGATCTGGACTTGAAATGTAGTACCTCATAGAGCTTTTCTCCTCTCTGAGGATTTTAAGAAAAGCAAGAGCGTAATGCTAATAGCCGCTAACAGAATTATGAAACCAATTCCATACAGGGAGTTCTTATGACAGAGCTTTTATAATCACTAACCATCCAAATATATTTGCATAGTCTTAATTCAGAACTCAGCAACCACTAGATTTTTTTTGCAGTATCTCCTTTTCAGTGAGTACTCTGTTCATGACACAAGAGCTCTTATGCCAATAATATGCATATAAATTCTACTATATCTTTCCTTTTTTGGCCTACTTGTAGTTTCTGCTTCTCCCCTTCTTAATTCCATCATACCTCCATCCCCTCTATTCTCTTCAATGCATACGTGGTAAAAACAGATAAGAAGAATTATACTATATTAATGTTAATAGAGTATTAATTAAAAATATCAAACCTCATCTGAAAGTAGTCCCTGAAGAAATATCAGATGTCATGAAAATAGAACCTAGAAAATTTAACCAACGTAGTTGACTGAACCGTAACTAATGCCCTCTATCTCCTCAAACATAGTTTCTTTAAATGTTCAGAATGATTAGGGTCTTGAAAATCAAATATTTTTATATGATATATATTTTTGAAGTTTTAGCATATGAGCAGTTGTTATTGGCTACCAATAAACCATTTACTTTTAAAATGTATTCCTGTGGTGTTTGGTATGTACCCAATGGAAAAAAACAAGAAAGGATAAAAAAATTGAAGGATCTTGATTTGCCACTGGTTAAATTAACTAAGTTAATGACGATAGCCTAGAGATAGATCTCTGTTACATCTCTGGTAGGTAGCATGTTTACAATATATTTGACTCCTGTGTTATTCTCATCTTAGCCCGTATCCACAATTCCTTATTGAAAAATTTAAAACTGTAAAAACAGAGATGTTTTTAATAAGTGTACAGCAAACCCATTTAGCAGTAAATTCTTAATGAGCTGGCATAAGAATATTTATGCCATTATTCATCTCAACTGTTGTTGTTATTACTTTATAGGTTTTGTTGCAGAAATACTGTTATTTTGTATTAAGACACTGTATACAGTGTTAACTGGAAAGTTCCTTATTCCTGAACAGATCTGGCTGCATGAGTTCCGTGAAGGGGGGATAGATCTGGATACCTCTAGAGAACAAATATTCTCAATAATTCAGAAACATTTTAGATTTTAGGTGCATTCATTCCTTAATTGGAAGACAAATTTTTTGTAAGATTCTAATGTGGAATAGAGAGAAATTTGGCATGCCTCTATCCTGATACTTCGATATATTTTAGATTTTCTTATTTAAGGAAGACAAGAATGAATTAATTCTTTAGGTAGCATCATATAGTTTTTCTTTGCCCTCTATCATTTATTAAAGTATATAAAAATATTGTTAACTGAAGGACAAAATAATCAGATTTTGGTTAATGAAGCATTTACTTCACAGAAAACTTCTATTCTCCAGAAATGCTGCTAGCTCTTTTGATATTTAACAGGTGTGATGGGGGAATATGAACCAAAGATTGAAGTGCGTTTTCCTGAAACTATACAAGCTGCAAAGGATTCATCTGTAAAACTGGAATGCTTTGCCCTTGGAAAGTAAGGTTTTTTGTTTTGTTTTGTTTTGTTTTGTTTTGTTTCTGGTTGTTTAATTTAAAAAAAAAAAAAACCTTTTTGTTATTCAAACATTGCTCTAAGGTAAATTACCAAATAGGTTTCAAATGCTAGGCAAAAGTGGAACTTTCTGATTGGAATTTAAACAAACATGCCTAATACTCTGAAAATGAGTGGGCCTGCAATTCTCCCCAAATGTACTGATATTTCCTCTACTTTGAGCATAATGAGTCCCATTTAGGCAGGATCTTACAACGGAATATTGTTTTTGTATACTTGTGTACTTGTGTAAGATGGTGAGCAAGTCACTAAATCTTCAACATGCCCTTTACTCCATCTCATCCTACATCCAGAAATATATTGCCTCGAGTGTCTTCTTGGTTGATTAATCAGCACTTCTTGTAAATGAAAAACCTGCACTGCAAGTTTCCAAAATAAAACTAATTAAAAGCTATTGTTCATAGCAGATCATTAGAATTGAGCTAAACTTGTCCTGGTAGTGAAGGCACTTTGTTTCACTCAGATAAGTGTTTATCAACCAATAGGTTTGGAATGTTTTTAAACCAGCCAAGTATCTGAATTTTTACATAGAATATGCAGATATCTCTTTGCCTTTTGGCACTATTCAGACTTAACTCACTCTCGTGCCTGTAAACAAGGAGTACCCACATCACAGAGATAAATAGATAGAATAGATCTGCAGTGTGCAGATGAATTAATTACCTGGGGACATGGTTAAATTGAAATTCTGTAAGTGTGTGGTGAGGATTTCTCCATTTCTAACAAGCTCACAGGTAATGATGATTTTTCTTTTCTATAGAACATATTTTGTTCTAAATACAGAGTCTATTCCCTCTAAATACAGAAGTCTATTCCGAAAGCGGGCATCACATTTAGAAAAAGTGATTTACATTACAAATTTGAAAAACATTTTTTTAAAGTTTCCATTTTGTTATTAAGTAAATATACTGAGCAAGCTAAATAATGCTGGTTACTAAATCTTTTTAAATTTCTTTCTGATGAAGTCTGGTGGGGGGGGGGGTGGTGTCCAGAGCCGACAGCAAAGAAAGAATTCTTGAAGACATCCTTGGTGCAAAAAGTTGACTATTAAAGCATGGGGACAGGACCCATGGTCAGGAAAAGCTGCCCTGGGGTCATCACTGGTAACTCATTATACCCTCAGGTTGGGAGGTAGTCAGGGATAGAGTAAGTGTCTAAGGTATTTTGGAAGTAAGGTTTCCAGGACCTTGAGGGGCTATCTGTTGCTAGGGAAATGCCACTTGTTACTGTTAATAAAACTCAGTCATGAGACCCTTCAGATGTATATCTGGGGCCATAAACTTGGAGCATAACTGCCAGCACATCTCTTGGGGCAGTTGAGATAAAGGAAGTAGACTTACAGGATCCTCGAGGTTGCGATAATGTTAAGCCAAAGTTCTCTTTAGCCCCCAGCACAGTGTCATCATGGAGGCAGCTGAGCTCCTAGACAGAGGTCACTCTGCAGTTCTCAAGGACTTGTCAGTGGGCTGTAGGCAGTAAGGGAATTTAATTCTTCATTTGCCTTAGTTTCCTGAATCACCATGGCAAGCACTTAAACCACTTCCCTTTGTTCTCTAGCAGCCTGGAGCATCTAAGGAATGTCACATAGATCCCACCTGGGGTGGTGGTGGGACCAGCCTGTATTTTGCCCTCACCTTGCCCCATGCTCCCTCATTACTTTCTATATATGAAATTTTGTAGATCTTTAAATTAAATTTCTCAATGTACTCATTTTTCATGTACTTAAAATACCATATTTTATTTTCATACAGTATAGGTCCAACAGTATGTGTCCAATAAATAATTATTGACTCGTTAAATCAAGTATAAGAAAGTGACAAATGGGAACTCTGTGTCACAGTTTTCATTTTCCTGCCTTTTAAGATATGATAAACTATCACCACTTTCGAGCTTTCTCCAAAATTAAAGTTTATAAAAAAGCATAAAATGTCAGCAAAATACTTTGAGAATTAGACAATTTACTTAAAAGGACCAATGAAAGATAGCATCTGAAAAAACATTTATAGCTGATTCTTTCATATTTGGCATCAGGGAATATGGACGGATTCCTGTAACTAAAGGAAATACTCTCACATAATAAAAAACTTTGAAAATTATTGAGGCTGGTTCTCAAGAATTTCACATAAATTACATTTGTTAAACATTTGGTATTGAGTTCAGATTTTATATATATATGTATATATGCATATATATATATATATAACCTATCTATATGTAATCCTCATAGTTATTCACGATATATCATATTTTCATTATATATGAGAAAACTGAGGCTCAAATTGGATAAATAACCTAATCAATTTCAAACTCTTGTTAAGATCACAAGGGCAATTCAAACCTAGTCCCACCTGATTTTAAGTTCTGAACTTAGAATCTTTTGAATAAATGATTAAGATGATTGCTCATGAAACCAGTGAAGACAGCTTCAATTCCCAGTTTTCTCAAGAGTTGTCTGACTGTTAGCAGCATGCTGCTCTAAGAATTAACATATACTCATCCAAAAGGACTTAATGTGACACCTGCCTTTTATGTTTATTTTGAAGTATGGAGTGGATAATACATGTAAAAAACATTCAGCATCAAACTTGGCACTTAAGCATTGAATGTTCATTGAATTATTCTGAACCCAAAATGCAAATTCTTTTTGTCTATGTATGTATTATCTTTTTGTCTAACCAGTGTTTGAGTTAGTGGGTATGATGGAACTAGAAACAGGTATCCACAAATTCTCATCTGGAACTCATTCCTTTTCTCATACCGATGGCAGTATAAGAGAGAGCAACAAACAGGGTCAGTTCTGGAGTAGAAAAGAGCAGCAGTAAGGTGAAAACTTGTTGATTAGCAAAGGCTCTGAACTGCTCACATATCAGCCTTCCTAATTTTATTTAATTCTATATTTTATTTCTAAAATTCAAACCTACAGAAATATTGAAAGAGTAATACCTGGACAATCATTTCAATCATACATATCCTTCACCTGAACAGATGGGTGGTAAATTATAACTTGGACTAATTTTGGAGAGGGATGTTTATGGCACTAAAAATATTGTTAAAAATCCACACTCGGGGCACCTACGTGGCTCAGTCAGTTAAGCATCTGACTCTTGGTTTCAGCTCAGGTCATGATCTTGTCGTTTGTGAGTTCAAGCCCTGCATCGGGCTCTGCACGGCAGTGTGAAGCCTGCTTAGATTCTCTCTCTCCCTGTCTCTCTGCCCTTACCCCGCTTGTGCTGTCTCTTTCTCTCTCAAAATAAATAAAAATTTAAAATATATATTTAAAAAAAGATCCACATTCAATTTTAGGCTCAGCTTGCTATGAAATGGGGGAGTGGAAGAAAGAAAAAAGACAAGGTCAGGAAATTTTGACCCTCCCATTTAGAGTTCACCATTTGACTTCCCTCCTTTGATCCAGTCATAGGTACCTGCTGAAAGAGTACTTTAGAAGTAAATGGAAGGAGTGGATTAATAATAATCCAAACAAGCGAACTGAAGTTTTAGGATATATGAGGTAAATTGTTGAAAATTCTCAAATGGAATGATTTAGCAATAAATGAAATCATCTCTTTAATTAATCTCATGGTAATGGAAACAATCAATACATTAAAACCTGACAACTAGTGAAACTACAAATGATAAAATGTATTACCTTAAAAATATGTGGGAGTATCTGAGCTTCCTGATATAATTTGCAGTAGCAGTATTTGACTCAGGAAAATTCAAATTGGAAAAATAATAGGTATAAATAAAATAAAACTTCTTGAAATATTTAATCTCATGTGCATGTCCAAATAAAACTTGATTGATAAGTTGTACATTCATTGTTAAGTTTATACATAAAAGATTTGTTGCAAATGAAATAAAATTAAGAATGGGAAATGATGTGGATTACTTAACTGCAATTTATAGAAAATTGCCAAGGAAATAATTCATTTAATGGAGTATACTCCGTAAGATTTTATATGACAAAATTAATTAATGTTGAGATTATGTTTATTAAGTTAAGTCATTATTATGGGACTGAAATTCCTTGGGGTAAAATGGAAAGTCCAAAGCATCCGCCAGGTCAAAGTGATGGTGTTAAAATAGCCAGTGTAAGAGACACACGTTTTGTGTAATTTTAGTGTAGATACATTTCTCATTTCTTCACATGGACAAAATCTATATGAAAATTTTTGTATGCTTTGCAAAATTATACATATATATATCAAAAAGAGCTTTTATATATGTTTGCCAACAGATTTCAGAGAACAAACTGAATTGCAGTTGAAACATTGCAAACATATGGCAAATGCTTTTTAGTCCATTATAAAATTTGACATTTTTCAAATATTTTACCAACTTTTAAAAATTTGCAAATCAGGGCACCTGGGTGGCTTAGTCAGTTAAGCTTCCGACTTTCGCTTAGGTCATGATCTCACAGTTCGTGGGTTCAGGCCCCGCGTCGGGCTCTGTGCTGACTGCCAGCTCAGAGCCTGGAGCCTGTTTCAGTCTGTGACTCCCTCTCTCTCTGACCCTCCCCTGTTCACGCTGTCTCTCTCTCTCTCCTAGAGATAAATAAAACATTAAAAAAAAATAAAAATAAATAAATAAATAAAAATTTGCAAATTAATAAACATAAAAACCACACATTCTCTTGAGAATTAATTATGTGATAGGCATAATTAATAATATGAAAATGTTTAAGATCAAATCTTTTGCTTATTAAATTATAAATCTATATTTGCATGTTTATTACAAAGTGTTTTTAAAAGCTCTACAGAAAGATAATTATAGATTATGTTCTCTGATATCTCTTGATGAATGTATTGCTGTGCTACATTTGGATTTTGTTATTTTTTTTCCAAACTAGGGACTACTTTGTACAAGTTAAGTTTAAATTCCCTTGTTCACTTTCTGAGGTGCCACACTTCTTTGTAAGATGTCCA